TTGAAGAATAAAAGATTTCAATATTTAACTGCCGTTCACAAGTTATCGTAAAAATTTTTAATAATTTCAAACATTTCAATATTTAAAGAGTTATTTGATGTAAAGTTTTTCTGAAAACGCAGTTCTAATATAATACGATGCTGTACATATTTACTAAGAACTATATAAACTGTACTTTTAAAACTGTACAACTGCAATAATAGGTTTTGAAAACTACAACAACAAATAAGACATTTCAAAAATTTCATGCAACATTGCATTTTTAATTTTCTAACTTCAATAAGTTATTTATCAAACAAATATGTATAAAGAATGTCGATCTTTTCATCAAGAAGATATTAGAATTTTTAAGAAATTTTGTTTTCCGAAAATCTATTTTTTAATTTTCGTATGTAAGAATTATGACTAATTAAATTTAAAGATCTGCAAAAATTTTTTATTATTACAAAACAAACTACAAGTTTTTGCAATTGAAGAGGTAATTGGACAAAAGGGTTAACAAACATTTTAACGGAAATCGAGTTGCTCGAATAGAGCATCATTAAATTTCATATACTTTCAACTGTGATTACTTTTATAGCTAGAAACTTAATAGAAGACGAGATTGACAGTGGAAATTTAAAATTTTTGAATAATGAAAAAAAGTATTAGAATGCAAATGTAAGTTAACCCCTTTGTTCACTTAACCGCTTCTTGTTAGTCATTGCAAGGAAACTTTTTTAGTTTCAAGTAAGAAATGCGTACGCGTACGTTGGGTTTACTGCAGTTTGAACAACTTATTCATTATACTTCATATGCAAGCATTTTTTGACATACATATATGAATTTTTTTGAAATTTTCTATTATCTACAGCAGCTTAATACGACTTGAAACTTTATATTGGTTTATAAACAATATTTTTTCATGTATAACACTAAATTTAATTTAAAATATATTTAAAAAAAAAATAAAAATTTAAATTTTAAATAAATTAAAAAATATAATTGTTTAAATTTATTTTATATTTAATTACTTAATATACATTAAATATAATAACATATTTATCAATCCTTTATTTTAATAATTTAATAACCATAAAAATACAAACAATACTGTTATATTATAAATAGTATATGTATATACAATATATGTACATATTATTTTATTGATGGTTAAATTTAATAAGAACGCTATTCAATATTTTATTTATTCAATATTTTTAATTATTATTAAAATTGAAATAATTCAATTATGAAATCTACATACAAATATTTGCATACACCATATAATGTACCACCCCCACATATAATATAATATAATATTAGGCTTAATAAATAATATTAGTGAAATATTAATAAGAGATGTGGTAATGCGTTCCTATATATGCATATATATGATATATATATTTATGTATATATAGATTATCTGCATATATGTATATATATATAAGTATATAGGAATTATATTAGTTTAGTTTCCATATAAGTATAAAATTTAATTTTATCTTATATAATTTTAATAATATATAAAATAATTAAGAAAATTTCCTATTTCAATTAGAATTTTCATAATTTATAAAATATTGATAGTATGTAGATATATATATATATACACAATAAACTTATGTACATGTTATAATACATCTATATATTTAAAAAATAATTATCAATAGAAATTTTCTATTAAATAAAGAAAATTCAAATTCTATATATGTATGTATACGAGTATAATATAAATTGGAATGGAAGATGTGAAATTCGGCATTTATATCGCAAACCTCCTTTTTTTGCTTTTTGTTCTAATCATAAACGCAATATCATACTTAAATGCATAAAATATTTTATATACGATTATATAATTTTATTTATAATATTGTACAATTAATGTATAGTTATTTATATTAGTATTATTATATATACAAGATAAGCATACATATATAAGTAAATATATCTTACTAATAACGCGTTAATGTTAATTTCTTTTCATCTTACAATATTTTATTTGTATCCTTTCTAAATACTTATAATTTATGTAGTATATGTACAGAAGATTCTTATTTATTGTATCAAGTTTATTATATCTTATAAAATATTATATTATAATAATAATAATGATAATAATAATAATAATAATAATAATAATTATTATTATTATTCTTATTGTAGCAAACCATCAAAATATATTAAAATTTAACCGACAAATAAAATTAGTAATATATATACATATTTACATTATATTAGTAGTATATATATATTTTATAAAATATTTAAATAAATTGAAAATAATATACAAATATATTCTGTGTACCACGCCTTTTAATATAAATTATTAAATATAATAAATATATTTTATATATTGCAATAATATTAAGAAAATTTTCAATTCCAGTCACTTAATATACCTATACATAACATAAGATATATGTATATATATTTAAATTATTTATACATATATTCTTGTATGTATATACAATATATTCGTAGAATATTTATAATATACGGGTGCCTGTCGTCGTGAATTCTGCAACGTTAATGCAACATTATATAAAGCAAAAAAAAAAATAAAAAAAAATTTTGATCCTTATAATAATTCGAATTCGCAATAATGATAATAATAATAACAAATAATTTTAAAATTATTTATAATAACAATTAAGAAAATTTCAATTTATTTTCTATAAGTAAATATATATTTAAAAATATATACATATAGTTATTTTGCTGTTCTTTAGACTATATTACTATAATATATACACATGTATACTATGAATATATAATAATATAGATTCTAATTAATAACATATAATAATGAAATAGGAATAAACTTATAAACATAGATCTATATTTATTGTCATACAAAATATATGTATATATATATATATTTTAATTTAGTATTTTTCACTATTTCATTATTATGAATGCAATAATCAACCATATACATATAAACCAAAATAATTATTATTATATATAATATAAATTGCATATTGTATACATTAATGTACATAAGTTGGTCCTTTCTCTATAATTAAAAGTAAATATTCATTTATTAACGAACTAACGAAATGAATCCGTAATATACCAAGTCTAATATATATATTATATATACCTACAAATATATTCTTCGTTCATGTACAAAGGGTGCATTCAATATATGTATATGTATAACCGTATATTAATATTATATTGCATATATCGCAAGTACAAAAACAAAAAAATATTATAAAATTTCAAATTTTAGAAATGAATAAAATTAAAATTTTTAACGATAATACTTATAGTGGTAGTATACACCTTTACATAGATTTAATTTGAAATTGAGTTCGTTATATAACATTTCTCATATATGTCTGTACATATATATAAATATTATAAACAATATTATTTTAATATAAAATTCTATACATTATACTGATAGGTTGTATCCTATTAAATGCATATTAGATTCATATATGTACGCATTATGTATACATAATATACTTTGCATGGTCAAGTCATCTTATATTATTATAAATTTTAAATCGCCAGAACGCCAACCTCTTTTTCTAATATCATTATTATTATTATTATTCTAGGATATTTTATAAAATTTATTTCCTTTATATTTCGTAAAATGATATATATGTATGTATATATATATGTATAATATATATATTAGTTTCAAATTAGATTTTCTTCATCTTAAGAATATTATTATTGTAGTTAATACATATATTCGCTTCATATACATATCTATACGTACATAAATACACTTGGGTACATATTATAGGTTTTATAATTTGATTACAAAATTGGAAATTATTTGACAGAAACTTTTTTTTTTGTTTCCTTTTTTTGTTTTGCTATTTTATTCGTTTGTTTTTAATTAAATTCCCTTAAAAATATATATATATTTATGTATGTATATTAGTAATATACTATTATATATATGTATATATTAAGAAAATAATAAGAGAAATTAGAAATTAATAAAATAATAATTATAATGTATTGAATTCGTGTTGTATATATGTATGTATATATATACATACGATTAATATGTAATGTAGTAGATTTGTGCGTATTCACGTTCTCACGGTTTCTGAAAATTATAATACCTAAGCGCATTGAAAAAATTATGCGATCATTTTATTCAAAGAATTTCCACAATTAACTTATATTTAACATTTGGCGGCTTGATTCCGAAACAAATCAGAATTCTAAGGGTTTCTTGTTACATATTATGTGTAATACAATTACGTTGATTGTGTACTGCATAAAAATTAATAAAATTATTGCCTAATTTAAAGCGTCAGTTTATTTCAAGAAATTAACAAATTTACGCCTTGAAGTCTGCAATATCTTTAAATCTCACATTTATTAATGTCAAATTACAAAAATTTGTTATTTTAAAAAATATTTTAAATGAAATTAAAATATTAGAAAATAATCAAAAAAAATAGATTTTTACAAAGCGGTTATACTTTTTTCTTGTGTTTGTTTTTGTATTTCACGCGTGACTTTATACTGTTGGTTCAAGTTGCCATTCTATTAGTGAAAGACTGATGTCCACACAGTTCTTCAAAAACATTAATATTAAATAAATTTAAATAAAAAATGTGTTTGATTTTAGTGAGTAACTAATGTGATGTTTTGGTCCGTTAATAGACCACCGAGATCATGTAATTTGACGCTTCTTATTTTTTTTTATATAAGAGAATGTAAATTTTTTATTTATATCAATCGTATCAATCGGAGCCGTCGTTGTATCTATTACAGTTTTCAAAAACAATATTAATTGTGTTGAAATTGTTGATAACCTCGCACCAAAATATAGGAAAATAGACAAATCTATTTCTCATATGTTTGAGCCATTTAGTACTCTAATTAGTCTTTAACCAGTGAATTTTAATAACCAGTTGATTGAAAATAAATTTCTTGTAATCAGTATACTTAATATCAAAATTAAATTAATTATATTTTTTAATTAAAATTATAGTTTTAATTAAAATTCTCTCAAATTTTTTTTTCTCTCTATATTACAGGCGGTGGTAAAAATTTAGTAACAGCTGTAACTTATGCCAAAAATAGTATTAATAATAATAAAAAAGGTTCATTATTAACAGCAAATAATAATATTTTATCTGGTGTACCAACAATTATAAATAATAATAATAATAATATAGGAAATAAAATGCAAACATCAGAAGCAACAAATATTTCATCAAAAGCAGTAGCAACTAATAAAATTCCACCCAATTTAGTTACAAAAAATAATACTATTGGAGGATATGATGTTATAAAACCATCTTCAATTACATCAAGTAAGATTTTTTTTAATTATAATATATATATATATACATATATACATATATTTCGTGAATATAACAATTTAATTTTTTTCCAATTCGATATATTACATAAATATTAAATTTTATTATAATTATAAAAAAAAATCATATAAAGTATCTGGAATGCCATTTACTGCTGGAACAGGAATTAATTCAGCTATCTCACCCATATTTAATATGGGAAATTATGGCATTAATATTACTACTGGTAGTGGTGGTGGTGTTGGTGGTGTCAATGTTAGTAATAATAATATTGGAAATACTTCTATTGGTGGCTTACAAGCCTATTATCAAGCTGGAAATAATATGGCGTCTCTTTTGGCGCAGAGTAAGTCAGTTATCATGCGGTATAAATAAAAAAATAAAATTTATACATTTTAATATTAATGTTTTTTTTTAATATTCCATAAAAGAAATTTATGTTTTAAAGATTTTTTTATTTATTTTATTTTTAAACTAAATAATTAATTAATTTTTTGCTTTGCGCCATACTTATAATTTAGTCCTTTGGCTATAACAATTATCAATTTTTTTTAATTTTTTTAATTTTGCTATATTTTTATTTTTTTTTTTTTAATAATAATTTTTATATTAATGCTTTAAATATTTTAATTTTAATTAATTTCAAAAAGTAAACAAAATAAAATATAAAATATACCACACAACACTACTGTCTAAAATTCAATTTTTTTTTTCGCTCAAAATAGCTTGATTTCCACCTTGAATTATTTTGGAAATAGCATACATATAATATGTAACAAATATTCACATAATAACATTTCTACATACATATATAATAAAGTTGGCTCAAACCAATGGTCAAAGTGAACATACTGCTTTTAAAAACAATTTCAAAAATTTAAATTTTAAATTACTTTCATTCATATATCAAAATATTTCAAACGATTGCATGCATACATTTAGGATGAGGCAAAACAAAAATAAAAAAGAGTTGAAAGAAGTGTTAACATAATGATCGAATTTATATTTCTTGAGGATATTGCTGTTAGTTTTTTGAAAAAGTTTGAAGTTTCGCAACTATAAGGAGCCGAATATTCAAATTTTACTAATTTCGTGATGGGGAATGGAGAGACTTCTAACTGAATGAGTTATTTATTACTGTGTAAATTCCGACTCTTATAAGTTATTTTCTAGAAGAAAAACAAACAAAAATTAAAAAACTATTTTAGATAACAGTTAATTTTAATAGTTGCTTTGTCATTGTAACGCTCAACTATGCAATGCCGCGGTAAAAGAAGTATATCGCAACCTTTCTGCTTTTGGGGAATTTAAAATTTTTTTTTTGATTTTGTTACAATAAATATTCTTGTTTAATCCCCTCAAAAACTTAAAGCATTTTTAAGACTTTCTGAGGAATTGTTAAAAATTAAATTTTTTTTAACTTAATGGAAATTATTAGTGTAATAAGCACATTCTTATTAATTCGCAACTATGATGTTGTATTAGTAAAATTCATAAATTAAATTTTTTTGTTTTTCCAACAATAATTTATTGTTTCTCAAAACGCTATTAATTTGTCAAAATATTATAAATATATTAATCCAGAGAAATTAATTTGATTTAACTGAATCACATAAAATCCTGACTTTTGATTCCAAATATGTAGATTTTGAAAAAAACTAGATTATTAGGAGTATTAATTCTATAATTTGAAAGAGAAATATTAAATTTCCATATTTAACAAACCGTTTCAGATTTAGCAGTAAAATAATTAAAGAAATATCTGTACGGTAAAAAATTTAAAGTCCATAAAGAATGTGAAAATTACCTTTTATTAATGTGAGTTTTATTTAATCAAGAAATGCTGAAAATTTTTTGCTCAGGATCCGATTCGGCATCAAATTCCAATTTCTTTAAGTGCTTGCCCAGCTACATATAAATAATAGTAATTTTTTGAGTTCAAGTTTGCATAATTTGAGAAAAACAAAACGTTCACCCGAAATTCTGTTTATATTAACCAAATAATTTTAGTTAAAAAATAAAATATACAAATTAATTATACGGTTATAAAATATGAAATGAAATTTAATTTATGCGTTTTAAGATAGAAACAAATTTCTCAATATTAAAACTTAAAATCTTCAAAATTTTATTCAATTTTTTAATTAATCTCATCAATACAAAACATTAAAAGTATTAAATTCCAAAAATTAAAAAATTCAATTAAAGATTTCAAAATTTACAGTGAAATTTCTTACAGAAAGACACTATACAGCTTTATTAGATATAATTTTAATTTTCCACCATTTTGATTTAATTATTCTTACATTTAATTACTTTAACAATTTGCTTTATTTTTAAAAAACAAAAAAAAAAAAGAATTATTTTTACGATCAAATTTATTCAATTTTAGTGGGAATGGGGCTTGATTTTGGTAACTCATCTGGTAGCGGAGGAAATCCAAATCAATTAAGCAGTATTAATCAATTGGTTATACAAAATCTTCAAGCATTACTAGCAGCAAATCCACAATTTTTAACAAGTGGCATTCCAAATAAATTATTAACACAAATGTGGATGGAACCTCAAAAAGTAAATATATACAAACCAAATATTAGGAATTACTTTCAATAAAAAATTAATATATAAATATCAGTTTACGTCACAGAATCAACAACCTGTTGAAGATGATGAAGGAGATGATGAAGAAATGGGTGTAGCTGAAACATATGCTGAATATTGGCCAGCTAAATGTAACAGAAATTTAAATATGATATGTTAATATAGCTTTAATTTATGTTGATTTTTTTTTTAGTAAAAATTGGTAAAAAACATCCTGATCCAGTTGTAGAAACAGCCTCACTATCATCTGTTGAACCAAGTGATGTTTATTATAAACTTTCAATACCAATGGAATCAATAAATGTTGGAAATTTGAGCGCATTACAATTAGAATCAATAACATATGCAGCACAAGCTCATGATCATTTATTACCAGATGGTACAAGAGCTGGATTTTTAATTGGTAAATTATCGGATAACAAAGAAAACTTAAATAGATCTTAAAAGAAATAAAATAATACTTATATATATATATCGATTTAGGTGATGGTGCTGGTGTTGGTAAAGGTCGTACAATTGGTGGTATTATATTTGAAAATTATTTAAATGGCCGGAAAAAAGCCTTATGGATTTCAGTATCAAATGATTTGAAATATGATGCAGAACGTGATTTACGTGATATTGGTGCTGGTTCAAAAATTAGCGTACATCCATTAAATAAGGTATTATAAATGAGTTATTTTAAATCAATTTCAAATTTATATAAAATATTATTTTATAGTTTAAATATGCAAAAATATCATCTGAAGTTAATGGAAACGTTAAAAAAGGTGTTATATTTAGTACATATTCAGCATTAATTGGTGAATCAAATAATAAATCAGGAAAATATAAATCAAGATTAAAACAATTATTGCAATGGTGTGGTGAAGATTTCGATGGTGTTATCGTATTTGATGAATGTCATAGAGCAAAAAATTTATGTCCAGTTGGTTCTGGTAAACCAACGAAAACAGGTTTAACAGTTTTAGAATTACAAAATAAATTGCCAAAAGCTCGTGTAGTATATGCCTCAGCAACGGGAGCATCTGAACCTAGAAATATGGCATATATGGTAAGATTGGGTATGTGGGGACAAGGTACACCATTTCCAACATTTAACGATTTTATTTCTGCTGTGGAAAAACGGTAGGTTTGTTGAATAGGAAATATTTTAAAAGTTGTTTTGAACAAAAACAAAATGTATGTTTTTGAAATTTTTTAGTGGAGTTGGTGCTATGGAAATTGTAGCAATGGATATGAAATTAAGAGGAATGTATATTGCAAGACAACTTAGTTTTCATGGTGTTACATTTAAAATTGAAGAAGTAAGCTTAACACCGGAATTTAAAAAAGTTTATGATGACTCTGTAGGACTGGTAAACAAATTTTTGGTAATTTTTTTCTGAATTTATTTTTTTAATTCGAGAATGTTTTAACTAGTGGGTTGAAGCAATGCAAAAATTTACTGAGGCGGCTGAATTAATAGATGCTGAAAGCCGTATGAAAAAAACTATGTGGGCACAATTCTGGTCAGCTCATCAAAGATTTTTTAAATACTTGTGCATTGCCTCGAAAGTTAATCATGCAGTTAAAGTGGCAAGGGAAGCTATAAAATATGGTAAATGTGTTGTAATTGGTTTGCAGTCTACTGGAGAAGCGCGAACTTTAGAGCAGTTAGAAAGAGATGATGGTGAACTAAACGATTTTGTCTCAACAGCAAAGTAATATTATTGCAAATTCAATTAAGATTTTTAATATAACAATGTTATTATTCCAGAGGGGTATTTCAATCTTTGGTAGAAAAACATTTTCCAGCACCAGATAGAAATCGAATCAATAAACTTTTAGGTTTGGAATCAAAAAAACCAACATTAGCTGATATAATGTCAGAGGATACGAAACCCAGTTCTTCATCAATAAACATTGCTTCATCATCAAACTCGAATAAAAGAAAATCCAATAATAAAACAAAAAATTCAAATCATAAAAAATCTAGGGTAGGTTCATCAGATGCTAGTGAAAATGATAATTCAGATGATTCAGATTTAAATGGTACTGATACAGAGCTGGAAGAATCTGAAAATAATAACTCTGACAGTGGTCAAAGTAGTGATTTTAATCCATTTTATAATAGTGATTCAGATAGTGATGCTGATCCATGGGTTTCAAGAAATAACAAAAAGAAAAAAGTAAAACCTGCAACATCAGCTAACAATAATAGCAATAATAACAATAATAGTAATAGTAATAGCAAGAAAAAGCCTCTATCTACACAAGATAAAATACAAGAGTTATTAGAGAAAAAACAAGGGGAAAAATCTATTATTACACAAACTATAAATGGAATCCAAATGCAATTAGGACCTCCACCTAAAGATGCTATAGAAAGAGCATGTAGTATGAAAGAAGAATTATTACAGAAAATTGAAAAAATTGGTGAACGCTTGCCACCAAACACATTAGATCAACTAATTGATGAGCTTGGTGGTCCTGAGAATGTTGCTGAAATGACCGGACGTAAGGGACGTGTTGTACAAAATGATGATGGTTCAATACAATACGAGTCACGTTCAGAATCTGATGTACCACTTGAAACATTAAATTTAACTGAAAAACAAAGGTTTATGGATGGCGAAAAAGATGTTGCTATAATATCTGAAGCAGCATCAAGTGGAATATCTCTACAAAGTGATCGTAGAGCAAAAAATAAAAAGCGACGGGTACATATTACATTAGAATTGCCGTGGTCAGCTGATAGAGCGATACAACAATTCGGTAGAACACATCGATCAAATCAAGTCAACGCTCCAGAGTATATATTTTTAATTTCGGATTTAGCAGGTGAAAGAAGATTTGCATCAACGGTGGCAAAGCGGTTAGAATCATTAGGTGCATTAACGCATGGAGATCGTCGGGCTACAGAAACCAGAGATTTATCACAATTTAACATTGATAATAAATATGGTAGAACAGCATTAGAAGCTGTTATGAAAACTATAATGGGCTATGAATCACCAATTGTACCACCACCAACTGATTATCGTGGAGATTTCTTTAAAGATATAGCTGGAGCTTTAGTTGGTGTCGGTTTAATAGTTAATAGTGAAGCAATGCCAGGTGTGTTAAGTCTCGACAAAGATTACAACAATATATCAAAGTTCCTCAATAGAATACTAGGAATGCCCGTTGAATTACAAAATAGGATATTTAAATATTTCACAGATACTCTACAAGCAATTATAAGTCAAGCTAAAAAAATCGGACGTTTTGATTTAGGTATTTTAGGTAAGCGGTATAAGACTTGAATCGATTCATGTTTGTCTCCCTAATTGATAAATTGTTAGTTAATTCTCACATTTTTTAATTAATATTTTAAGATTTGGGTGCTGTTGGGGAAAACGTCACTAGAATTAAATTAATTAAATTTATAAGAAGACATGCAACAGGAATAGCACCAGCTGAATTACATTTTGTTCAAGTCGAGAGAGGCATGATATGGCAGGAAGCTATTGAAAAGTAAAAATATATATTTAAAGTAAATATTATTTAATACAAAATTAATTTTATCGATTTTAGATTTGCTGAAACTATAAATGAAAAAGAAGGTTTTTACTTATCTCATCAAGCTCGCAATGGTAAACGTACTGCAATTTTAGCGTGTGAAATCGAAACAAAACCAAATCAAAATAAAAATAAAAAAGAAAAATTAAATAAGAAAGATTTAATGTTTCAAATTTATAAAGCAAATACTGGACTGCAATTCAAGCCAGAGTCATTAGCTGATATAGAAAAAAAATATAAAAAAGTAACAATGGATGAAGCAGAACCACATTGGACCCAATTATATGATGCTTCTGTAAATACTTGTTCACATGCATATTGGAATGGAAATTGTCGAAATACTAATTTAGGAATAGAATGTGAAGTAATAATAAGTTTTTTATTTGAATCTAATGTTTTGCAAATTCAATTTAACATATTACTATTACTTTTCTTGTGTAATTTTAGTACGGGTTAAGACGAAGGACATATACAGTATTAGCTGGTTCAGTTTTGTCAATATGGGCACGTATTGAATCAGTTTTAAGTGTTAAACATAATAATAAAATGCAAGTAATTCGATTAAAAACCACCGAAGGTCACAAAATTGTTGGCACACTGATACCAAAGACTTGTGTCGAAACATTAATAAATGATTTAAAATCAGACGCAGAAAAAGTTGATGAACAAATTTTTTCTAATGTATAAAAAGAGAAATATATAAAAAAAAATAATATTAAATTAATAAAAAAATAAAAAACAAAAATATTTTTTTTTAAATAATTATACTAATACCTTTTATCAAACAAAAAAAAAAGTTTTTTATTTATATAATATTAATGAGACTTATTATGGATAAAATATTAAAAATGCTAGTAAATAGATATGTAAAAAAAAAACAAATAAGTATAATAATGGAATTAATTTTACAATTTAATAGTTTTGTTAAAAATTTTAAAGATATATATATAACTATTTATATATTCTCTCTGTACATCTTATGTAAAAAATTTCCTTTGATTTTACTTTTATATTTATATAAAATATATAAATAATTTAATTCTTCTTTAAAATCATATTAAATGAACAATGAAATCCTTGAAATTAACTATTTTAATTCTTATTCAAGTGAATAATATTATAAAATTAATTGTTGAAATAATGTTGAGGAAGAATTTTTTTAATAATATAATTGTTATTAAGTAATTGTAATCATAATTTTAATTTTGTCCTATTTAAAATAACAAAAACTCAAACGGATATATTCTTTATCTTGTTTCTTTTAGTTCTATTTAGTAATTTTAGAGTATGTATGTAAAAGATTATAAAATATAATTATTAAAGATTAAAGTTTTAATATATATAAATGTATACTAGTAATAAAATTCTGCTATGTTATTTAAAATTAAGAAGAATGGAAATTTTTAAAAGTGCTTAATGCAATTTAATCGCTTTTCGATAATAATGAAATTGTTTTTCTATTTTTATTTTGTGATTTTTTAAAAAATTTTCAAATAAAGAAAATCATTTTTTGTAAACAATATTGCAAATTTTTTTAATAAAAATCATTAAAATCATTTTGATTTTAAATAAAAAAATGTTTTCATTATTTTTATTATGGAAAAATCTAGTTTTTATTATTTATGTCTTTAAAAAAAAAAAATAGTTAAATTACATTTAAGTAATTTTATATTCGATGATTTTTTTAAAATTTTAGATTCTATTAACACCATTAGAGTTTTATTGATTTTTCTAATTAGGAAAATTAGGATTTACCTTTGTGATTTTTTGTGTATAAATATAAAAAATATTTATATACTAAAGTAATAAATAATTAGTACATAGAAAAGCAATAAGAAGTAATTTGTAAGCTAATTTCAACTATTTTTTTGATTTAATTTTAATTAAGTACATATTATTTTATTTAAGATTTTTTAATTTTTTATTTTTGAGAGAAAGAGAACTGTATCATTTTGTTTTTAATTTAATAGAAATTAATTAAATAATATAAAGCAAAATTAATTGAATAAAAATGAGAAACTTAAATTGTATTTTATTTATTATCACAAGGAAATTATTATTTGTATAGGAAGTTCTATATTATTGATATTATAGATTGTTTTAAATTTATAAACAGATGGCGAGCATTTTTACTTCTTATAACCAGAGTAATCATTTGATTATTTTCCAAAAAGTAAAACTTGGTCATTTTTGAAAATTCAGTTACAACTTAGATCAAGCTGACCAATTTCTATAAATTAAAACTAGAAAATCTTCAAATATAGCATGTTCGACAAATCTCTACTTTGTTCAAAATTCGTATTTCAATAATTCTACCTAAGACCTATGTTAATATACAGTACGTTCGATAAATCCAAACTACAAAATCTGTAAAAATAGCATGTTCGAAAATGGCAACCGTTGTGTTTAAAACTCTAAAGGATTTTTTTAAGTTTTTTTATAACTGTTGCAAAAATATTATAAATTTGAAGAGCGATAATAGAAAAATGTTGGATATTGAAAAATTATCGAGTATGTTACAAATCAAAAAGTTAAATATTCAGTTTCTGCAGATTTTAACTATAGTAAAAAGACTTAAGATTTAGTTTAGACTTTCAATGCATGTCTGAATTATCAAAATTTTCTTAATCTTTAATTTTATTATTGCTTAAATAAAAACAAATATATTGTATATGCATTATGTTTGTACATATATGAATTTTATTTTTTTAACAATTTTATTAAAATAAATTTGTATGTACAATAATTCAATTTTATAATTTTTTGTTTAATAATCTATAGTAAAATGAATAGATACATTTTTCATATTACTTTTTGTAATGCCATTTTGTAAACATAATAACTTCAATACAAATTTCTAGATCTCTAAAAACACTTGCTCAAGTGATTCCATTTAAAAATTTAAATCAAAGCCAATTAACAGAAAACCAAAATTATCATTTATTTACAATGTAGATATTATGTATCACGATGCATTCAATATGCTTAGCTTGTAAACAAATGTAACTTAAAGCGGTGTTATTTGTTAATAAGTAATTTTCGAGAATAATAAAATATATTTTGTCCTCATAATACACTATTATCACGTAATTTGTACTTCATTTTCATAAAAAGCTTTAAAACATCCGATTACGTTAATCTTTTTGTTATTTTTTTTAGAAGTTCCAGGATTTACTTCTGTAGTAAATAAATATCACATCTTCATCAGTTCCATAGGCTTTTCGAGCTCTATCCATTGCGTCCACAGAAGTCACACATACATCTAAAAATGAAGAGTTCAGTTTCTATTTTTCAAATTTATAGTCAAAGACATACGATCATCTTGAGCTGGGTTTCTATATAAAACTTTTCTTTTAATTAAATCATAGCCACATATTACGACATAATGCCCCAAGTATCTGACATATATAGGAAAAATATTAAATTTGGTAGTCTTTTCTACTTTTTTAAGGTAACGTACCTTGATGGGCTTTGCTTTTGCTCATCCTTTCTTTTACAGTTATCGCAAGTTAAAAGCGCTGCATTAGTTAAAAGTATGACTGGACCATATTTGGATAAGTGTCGTATTATTGCATCAAATTTAACAGTTTTCTTTTCAACGTTAATACCTAAATTAAATGAAATTAATAACATTTTATGATATATTGTAAAAAACATCATACATCAAAATTTTACCTTTAGCTTCTGCCTGTTCAAATCTTAGTTTAACTCTTTCTTGGTCACGTTCAATTATTGGAGTATAATAACTATGTTCAATATATTTTGGATCCACTCCTATAGTTTTCGTTAAATATTTGTGAGTAACCTAAAATTTTATTGGCAGATATTAATTTTTAAAAGAAAATTGTAATAAATTTATTAAAATTTTCCTACATTAAATCTTTTAAGAATATAACACAGATCAATTGTCCAAGTTGAGGAACCGAAACCTTCTTCTTTACCTTGACAAAAATGGAGTTTAAAGTAAAAAACCATAACATAAAAATCTTTTGAAAATACAATTAAACCATAAGCTTCGCTATTGATAATTTTTAAGAATTTAAAAAAAATATCAAATTTTTAAAATGGTAAGCTAAAGTTGAATTTTAATGAGTAACGATGGATAAGGACCTTATTAATTAAATAGTAGTTTTTGAAAATTTACTTACGAATTTCATCAAAATGATTAACTATGTATTCTCGTGACAAAGCGCTAACAACCATTAATATACAAGATATTCCACAATCCCAGTCATATCTTTGGCGGAAATGGACCAATTTATATTCCTTATTAAGTGGTAATCTTGAATCTACAATTGATTAATACATAATTGATAATACATACATATGTATATGAAAAACTAGGCACTTATATTATTCACAAATGAAAAGAATTTACCTTCCATTTCTTAATTTTAATATTATTAAAAATCACTACATAAATTTCTGAATCTGGCCAAAAAAAATTATACCCAGAAAAATATTCAAAGATTTATTTTAATCCGATTTTCCATTCCTTAAAAGAACAAATTTTCATTTCATCAATGCCGATCGCCTATATTTCCCAGCCAATTTCTAAATATTTGACAGTAGATGTTTTTAAAGTCATTGTCAAATACATATATTCCTATAGCTTTTCCACAAAATATTAAAAAATCTTGATCTATCTAGTAAGATTAACCAAAATAAAAATGGTAGGTCGAAAATTTCACAAAAAATTAATTGTCGCTATTTTACTTCTAAAAATTTTGACGGTAAATGTGATGGGAATAGAGAATATTAATTATTTTTGAATACTAGCTCAAAAATTTATTATTTTAAGAACTTAATTGGTTTATGCATTTTATCATTTCGCATTGGTTCGTTTATTTTGCTTTGACAAAAAAAATACAATAAACTTATATGGTTTTGTTGTTTTTACGCTGTTTATAAATTAACAGAAAAAATATTTGCAAATAACTGTTAAGAGTAATGACATATGTAATTGAGCTAAAGTTTAATTATTCTCGTGTGAGTTAAATTAAACGCGCAATGCTGATCACTCTTTTTTAAACTATAACTTTGCATTAATAGTTGAAATGGGCTTCATTAGTTCATTCCCCTTGCCGACAAAATTTGCTTGCCAGATGAATGAAATGTGCTTTTCTGTTTATTCTATTGATAAACAAGCCACCGTGTAAAAATGGGTAATGTTACGAAACAGGCAAAAATTAAAAATGTGTTTGTGTGGAAACATTTTATTATAATTTTGACATTGACATTCGGCTTTGTTTTTATTTTACATAAAATAAAAACGTGCAGCAAAGCAGCTGGAAATTTTTATAAACAAAAAATTTTTATAAAATTATTGGTTGAGTTTAATATTAAAATTACTAATATCTTTTAGATATTGCAATTATTATCATCAAAGCTGCCAGAAAACTTTTTCTTTGAAAAACTAGAAAAATTATCCAAATTTCCAGTAGTAAAATTTTTTTAAAGCAAAAATATCAAATCTATGGATCAAACCAATAATAATTTCGAGTATGTGCCTACTAAAGCTTCTTTGCTAAAGAAAAAGGATTCCGAGGGATTTACGGCCACAGTATTTAAATCGCATAAACCAAAAATAAAAACTAATCCCGATACTTTTAAAAGTAATTTGAATTATGCAACTGAAATAAAAAAAAATAAAATACAACAGGACAGTGGAGATTTTGATATAAAAAAAGCAAAGCATGATGTTATTAATTTTGCCATTTCTGGATCAACTCATACAGATAAAAAGAAAGCACAAATTGCATTAGCTATAAAATTAGGTGCAAAACCACCAAAAAATGAATATAAAAATTATAAAGAATTACTTAATGAAAAGATACGAAAGAAAGAACAACAGGATCAAATAGGAGCATTTTCTCTACTGGGAAAGAATCAGTATGGTGCACCAAATACGAAATGTAGGAAAACACGTAGAAAAGCAATTGTTGGACAGATTTCAAAAAATTATGGTGTTGTAAATTCGAAAATAAAGAAATAATTTTTATTTTAACATTCAATATTGTATGCATTTCCTACTTTAACACATTTATATATATATAATAGTCGTGTAGAATAATTCTGTTGAATATTGTACAAATTATCCTTTTTATTTAGTGTATTTAATTTTAGAAAAAAAATCACAAAAATTTAAGTATGTAAATTCGGTAACGACTTTATTAAAATTTTTTTAATTAATTAAGGAGTCGTAGACTTGACGGCTATTATAGTCATAATGGGTCATTAATCAACAAAACTCAGTCGTTAGTATTTCGATAAAAAAATAATAAAAATTATATTGTACATATTATGTATGCTAACTTTCAAGAATATAAGAAAAATTGATAATTTAATAAAAATTGCAGAACTTTTACTAACGTGGAAAAATGAAAATAGATCAGGGAAATTTGATTGAAAATATTTTAATTAGGAATCATTTGTTTGTACTCTTATTAAAAAAACACAGTCCCCAACCTAGGCTGAGCATAGGAAGAAGTATGTTTCATTTACATTTATTAGAAAAATTTATTATTATTTAATTCAAATCGTAAAAAATAGTTAAACTATAATAATCCAAGATTTTACTATTCTCAAAGATAGGCTATTATTGTTAGATTTGCAACCTTATGCTCTCGTAGAATAATGTAGAACTTTGTTAATGTTTAGTTCAGGTATTTTTAAGAGCAAACTCGAATACTTGAGCTCGGTTTTTCAATATTTTTCATCAGGATATTGCGCGCCGCCAATGCTAACTCTAATTTTGGTGTTCTTAACATTGGTAAGGATACTCTGAGATGTGAACTTTCTAGGAATTTAAATTATGTTTAACTATAGCTTATATAACGTGGGTATTATAGTTTAAATTTTTTTTTGTTTTTGAAATTTTTTCTTTTTTGTTTAGTTTTCCGCAAAAACTGAATTAAAAATTTTTTTGTGTATCTCATACTAATAAACTCTAACCCTTTCTAATTCTCCAACAGTTCCTTTTTAGCCTAAACAATTCGTTTGATATACATATATATTTATTATGGCAGAAATATAACAATATTAAAAAAAAAAACGCCCTGTCGGGCTGCGTAAATGATGCTTTTACCCCAATGCATATAGTTGAAATAAAAATTCATTACATTTTTTTTTGTCACCTCTTAGGGAGGAATTTATTTTCTATAACTTGAATGTATTTTAGTTGTTACAGATTTAAATTTGAATTATCATTTTTATTAATTTAATTATTTTCTCTTGTTTAAATTCAAAAGTTTTAACCTATTTATTTATTTATTTTATATTAAAAGAAAGCGTTGAATTTTCAATTAATAATATGATATTTAATTAATGTATTTTATTTTTTTTAACTATTTTCAATACTTTTTTTTTTAGTCAGACAAAAAAATATAAATCATATTTTTATTTTACAAACTATTACGTTTTTCCTACACAATATAGTTGAATACTATTTTGAATTTTACTATTTTTTTATTTTCGGTTTCACAAACAAATGCCGAATTTAGAACACATTTACTTCACATTTTTTTAAATTTTCAATTGTTACACTTATTATTTTTTTCTTTAATATTTTGTTATAATAAATTAGAATATATTGTAGTTTTTTAAGGTACTAGGAATATTTTTTTTTTAATCAAAAATTATTATTAAAATGATCACATTTTAGATAAAACAAAATAAAAATTAATTAAAATACAAAAATGTAATGAAATAGGAAAAAAATTAAAAAAACATAAAAAAATTCAATTCTATTTCAAATGGTTTTTTTTTTAGGCACTGTTTACGAAAAGAAAATCAAAATTTACTTAATATTTGTATAATTTTGAGATACTTTTCTTAAAATTGTTATAATTACATATAACTATTTTATATTATTTTATCATTATCCTATTATGACTGGAATAATAGAGTTGAATACAAATTCATTATACATAAGATTTTTTTTTAATTAATTTTTTTAGTTTTAAAAATAATTGCAATATTGAATTTTATTCTATACATATCTGATTTATTTTATTTTTCTTATGATATTATATAATAATTAATTTATTGTGGTATCAGCATAATGCTGAATTTACATTTTTTAAAACAATAAAATAGAAAATTCGACATTAGTTTGAATATTTTAAATTAAAAAAAATTTTATATTATAAAATTAATTTATAATTTTATTTTGACATGATTTGCTTTATTTGGACAAAGGGACAGGAGGTGGGGGGAGAGGAGAATGGGTTGAATCACAATCATTTTCAGGTTTCAAAATTCTGTAAATTTAAATGGAATTTTATCTTTGATGTATGTATGCACATATCCAATTTGAGTTTTTATTAACATTTAATTAAAAATTTAACATTTTATGTTTATTTTTTTCTTTTTTTGTAAGTTTTTTACCGGCTTTAAATCTGTTTTTAACTTTACTACCAACAAGAATTATTATTATTATTACTACACCAATATATATATATTTTTTTATACATAAAAACTTTAAGATTTTTTTTATATATGTAATATTTTTATATATAATATAAAATGTGCTGTTGAATTTACAGAAATTAAGATTGATAAATTAAAAATTAAGCAAAAATTTTGGTAATGATTTTGTCTAGAATTATACTTTAACGTATTTAGTGTTACATACAGTTATTTAATTCAATAATTTTTTTGATTTATTGCAATAATATTTTAAATTTGTAACCAAATTTAATAAATTTTTAAATCTATAATTGTAATGTTAATGTTTAAATATTTAAATATAAACAAAAAATATTACTTAAAAACTTATACATATTCTTTTAAGACGCATCACTACTGAGTTAATGGGATAGAATCAATTTCGAAATTTGAAATTTTATACTGAAAACCTAAATAATTTTAAATAATATTCTATTAAATCACGTCATATATCTAACAGAACATGTATAATTTAACAAAATTTAAATAAATACATATTTTCAAATAATTGTGATACTACTAGAATTTTGTGATAGTGAAAATAGTGATTGTCTGTACATATAAGTTACTATAAATTTTGTATTAACACAAACTTTAGTTAAGAGTTTAAAAGTGCAATTATAATTTCAAAAAACTTCATATAGAAAATCAACAACACATATTTTCTTAGCTATACTCAAAAATAAGGAAAAAAAAATTATATAATCATCATGCATTTATAAAATATGAGCATACTAAGCTTATATTTATTTATATTAAAAATATAATACCGAATAATATTTAAGAATTATTATGTGAGTAGATCATTTTATTTTATTTTTATATAATTATGAAAACATAAAATTTTCTCAATTCTATCTTCATTCGAGTTGTAAATCACATCGATTCGAAATTTTCAAAATTACAAGGTTTGTAATAAGGCTCATTTAAAAAAAAAAAATATTGGATTTTAAAAATTTTAGAATAAAAAAATTTTTGTTAATTTATGATTTAGTCTTAGTCAGCGAACGAGTGTTGAACATACCTTCCACACAACATCAAGCTCTATATATGTATAGTGCATAGATATACTACAAAATAGTATAAACATATTATCAAAAAGTTTAATAAATGAAAATTTACGATCAGTAAGTTCTTAATACAAAATGTTTCGTTCATAGAATATCGAGTTTTTTATTAATTTGTTTTAGGTATCATCAGCGCAAGAACAAAAAATTTTAAATCATATTTTTCCTCTACTTAATACTTAGAATGAGAAAATTTTCATTTTTGTTTTCGATTCAATTATAAAGTGAAAATATTTTCAAATATACATAATATAGATAAATATTATATAATACAAATACATAATATGTTTCCTATAATAGTATAATATTTTTAAAAGCTAAATTTAATAATTAAAATTTTATATTTTAATATTTGATATTTTATACTACATTCTATATAATATATTCTAATTTTTTTTTTCTTTTATCGAATTATAATATTTTATTATTATTTTTCATGTGAAGCCTACAATATAATAATACAAATTTTCTTCTTAAAGAGATATCTATAAATTTCCTGAGATATCAGATTAAAGGAAAATTTATTTTTATATTATTTAAGATTACAATATTTAATTAATTAATATAAAAAATCATAATAGTTATTTATTTATTAAAGATATTTTCATCAATAATATACTTTTATATATTTATATTAATAAATGTAAATTTTAATTATATATACTTGTAATTATATACTAATTAAAAAAGAAAATTATTATGAGTTTACAAAATATTTCAAAAAAAAAAAAATAATTATTTTGTTTTTTAATATTTTCTCAAAAATTTCAACAACCAAATTGTGTAAATTAAAAAATAAATATCCTTTTTTATTGTGTTTTATAAGCATTTTTTTTTGTATTTTTTATTTTGTTTTCTGTAATTTTTAATTTAACAATATCACAATTGAATTCGTTTTATGTAATTTTTTTTTATTTTTTATTTACTTTTTTCACTATAAAATCAAAAAAAATTGTCATTATCATTCTTTTTTTTTTTTTTTAAATGAACTATTACCTATGTATATAATATATTTTTTGGAATTTTTTTTTTTATGAAATTTCTGATTAATTCCATGTTCTAGTAATAATAGTCTTTAAAATCTGAACTGCTGAATTCGAGGCTCTATTGCACCAGCTACTTTTACTTTTACATTTTAACTTTTTAGAAAAAGTCCTATTTTTATTAGTACAATTCATTAGTGCTTTGACTCATGGTACAACGCAAATTTTTTGATTAAAATAAAAAGTAAGAAGTGGTTGGTGTAATAGGGCCCAGAGTTTAAACATAAGGGCCAATTTCTTATTTGAATTTAAAAACTTTATTATTACTGTACTATGGAAGATCAAGAAATTTAGTTTAATTACAAAACCTTGCCCATTATTTTTATGTTTTATATGGTTTTTAAATTCCTTTGTAATTACAAGTTTGATTTTTTTTTTGTAATTACCAAAAGGAATTCTCATATTTTCCAAGAAAAAAAGAAAATAAAAAAAAGATATTGTGGCAAAATTATGATAATATTACAATAAAAAATTATTAATATACATTTAATTATTTTAAATATTTAAATTATACAATGCATCAAACTTAATAATAGTAAATATGATGGCTAGCCATTTTATTTAATTTGAAATCAAAATCTTATAATTGTTAGATAATTTTAAAAGTAAATTACATTGTTGCTAGTTTTATTTGTAATAAAAAATACATATATTCATTAACTAATTTTTGATTATTTTAAATTGCAATTATTACTTATTTAAAAAAAAAAACCAAAAATTCTAATTTTGTAATTTATAAAATTAGTAAAATTTAATTTTTATCTTTAATGTAAAAATTTGAATTTAAAATTTAAGTTTGAGTACATTGTATATGTGTATACTTTTAACGTGCATTTTTTTTTATTTTAACGTATTGGAATTCCTATATGTATAAGTATAATATATATTATATATTTACATACACGTATAATTTAAAATTTATATTTATATACATACTTCAAGTGCATTATTACATTTAAATTTTTTTGTTATAAAACATTGAATTTTATATTAATGCTTCAGAGTTGGGTTTAGAAATTAATCAGTGTAAGTAGTGGCTTTCTAGTCATAAATGAGTTTTATTGTATGCAAAATAATGATGAGGATTTTCGATAATTCAGATATACGTTTAAAGTTCTAAATAAAATTTTAGAAGTCTTTTTTCTAAATCTTTCTATCATGATCTTCTAATTTATAATATTTTTGCAGAAGTTATAAAAAAAACTTTACAAAATCCTTTAGAACTTTAAGCACAACTGTTATTTCGGTACATGCTAATTTTGCAGATTTTGCAGTTTGCTATAAAGGATGTTAAGACTTAAAAATTAAGATTGAATTATCGAAAATCCCCTTACACTGATTAACTTCTGAGCCGCTCTCCAGTATATTAACAAAAGCAAATTTTTTTTTGTTAAATCAAAAATTATCTTGAATGTTTTTTAAGACTAAAAATCTTATAAGTTAATGTTTTTTTTTGTTTTTTTTTTTTTTTTATTTTATTTTTATAATAATTTATTACGTTTTAATTAATTTTGTTTCGAATAGTTTTTTATAAAAAATAGATAAATATTTTTCGCATGCAATATTTTTTTTTTTAATTAATTTTTAAATTTCAAGTCTTAAGAATTTCAATTTTATTTCATTTCAGTTTTTTAAAAAAATCAAGCACCTCTTTTTATTTTTGAATACAAAAAGTTTTTATTTTATTTTTTGTTTTTTTATTGTTTTTCAAAAGATTTAGTTTATAAAAATGAAACAAAAATGAAAACATTATATTTTTTTTTTTTTGTAATTTTAAAGTTAAAGCCTTAAGTTTAATCATGGGTTTTTTGATTTTTGCAATTTGAATTTTAATTTGGCAGTGCTTTTAATTAAAATTTTATAATTTTTAATTTCAATTTCAGGCAGCTTGGAGTTAAAATAAACATTTGGAATATAAAAATAACTTTTTTAATTATAAATTTGTGGTTTTAAAAACAAAACAATTTTTTTGACTTAAAGGGTTTTCGTTTTTTGACGCTTAATTTCGTTCTTCCATGATCTTTAGTAAATAAAAAAAAAAACCCTGACTTCAAAATTGCTGTAATAAAGTATATTTACATTAATAAAACTCAGATTATGAGTTTTGATTGCCGAATTATGTATTTAATGCTGCTATTTTGAAGTCACGCAAAAACTTAACTTTTATTTTGTCAAAATTATTGGGTTTCAATTAAAGGTGAAACACCAAAATAAGTGTAAAAGAATACCAGTAAAGGTCTTGTAACTATTACTGGTATTCTTTTTATAAATTTTATTTTATTCAAATTAGTTTTTATTAAAAGCAGCCCTTTATTTAAATTATAATTTGGTATATATTTAAATGTATTTTCGAAATGTATATTTAAATGTATTTCCTTGAGTTAAGCACTAATCAATTTAACAATTCATTTTTTATTGTTGAGTAATTACCATTTTACAAATTTTAATGAATATTTGATGATATACCAAAAAAAAAAGTATAAATTTCTTATAAAGCACATTTTTTTTTTATAGAAAATAAAAACTTTAAAAGCTTATTTAATATAGTAACTCCCATATTCTCTTAGAAAAATCAATTAAGGTCAAAATAAAATCAGTTCCAAGAAGTTTGAAATTGTATACTAGAAAACTTAATGGGTTTCTTAATCTTAAGATATAAATCTAACACAAATATTAAATGGATGAATTTAAATTATACAATAATTTTCATTTTAAAACAAATTTTTAAAACAAATTGAAAAAGTATTAAAAGAAATTTTTAAGATCTTAAAGTTTTCAAGCAACTTTCAAATAGATTTCAATCTTTTTATTATTTTTGTTTTTTATTTTTTTGGTGTCTAAAATCAAAAATTTATAATTTTTAATTTATTTTTGGTAACTAGTACTTATTTTTTTTTGAGGTATATTTTTAATATTTTATATTTTAAATTATTTTTTTCTTCTTTTAATATCACATTTTAGGTACCTTGTTATTTTTATTGTATACATAATTGTGCTAAATTGATGTAAAATACTATAAAAATATTAATTATGCATATTGTTGAAATTCGCAATGAAATTTTTACTTTGTACATTTACTGATAAAAATAATTTTCAGATTAATTTTAAATATTTTTTTTTTTTTACAAATTTATGAATTCCAATTAATACAGAATAAATACAATGAAACATATTAATATTTTATAGTATTTTAAGATTTCCTAATATTTTTTTTTGTTTTTATTTTTTTAAAAACTTACTATAACATATTATTTACCTTATTTAAGTTTCTAAAACAAAGGAACAAAATTATATTATTTAAATGAAAATTTATGAAAGTTGCTTTAAAACTTTATTTTTATCTTAATCATAATTTTAATGATAATTCATTTTTCATAATTATAAAAAAAAAAAATAATGTTTTCATTTATGTTTCATTAAAATTTATTTATTTTGGAAGTTTCATCAACCTGAAAATGGAATTTTCTGTTTACAAATCAAAAATTTCACTGAGTTTGCCCTATAAAATATACAAAAACTGTAAAAGCAAAACTAATACATATATTTCATAAATATTTCAATAAAAATTTAGAAAACACAAAATTTTGCAAAGTGCTATGTACGAACTACAAAACAGGACAAAATATCAAGGATATTGCCACTTTACTATTTAAAAAACTATATTAAAAAGATATACAAAATTAATTGTTTTTATATTTATTATATTGAGATTTTTTGTTTACGATAAAAATTCTAGATTAATTATAAATTTATGCACTTTAAAATAATATATTAAAAAACATTTTGAAATAACTAACAATAAATTAATGAATTTTTAATCTGCATGTATTTGACTACATCCCCATTTTATGATGAAAAAAAAATTTTTAATTTATTATATAACTGGCAAATTATTTTCAATCACTAAATTTAACTTTTGCGTTTTTAACAATTTTAAATTTATTTACTTTAGTTAATGTGTTAATAAAAATAGTTTTAATAAAAAAAAAAACATATTAAAGAATAAAAATAACTATTTATTTTACTTTTGAATTTTTAATCAGACTTTTGCATTTTATTTTCTAAATATATAAAAACATGAAAATTAAATGTTAAAAAATTAATTTTTTTTTTAAACTTGAAAAGGTATAACATGCTTTTATTTAAAAGATAAAAAATTTATATTAATTCGGTTTTGTTTTTTTTTTTTTGTTTTTTATAAAATAACTAAATTTTTTACAGTAATTTTCTATTATTTTAGTAAAGTGTTTTGTTTTTCATATTGCTTTTGAATATAAAATAAATATTTTTATGTAACATAGCCAAAATAGAAACTTCATGTAAAATTATAAAAATGAAGATTTTTCAGTAAGGATTTTTCCAATATTTAAATTGCATATTTAAAAATAAGATAAACTTTGTTTTATTAATGAAATTTTCAATTAAATGCATTTTATGAGTTTTTAATTTGTTACTATATTTAAATAGATAATAGAAACTTAATAAATCAATAGAACTTTCGGAAACTTATTCAAAAACTTAATGGTGAATTAAATTTTAAATTCGAATTCATAAAAAAAAAATATGTATAATAAAAAAAAAGAGAATTGTATGTTCTCAAGCACACATACATATTTTTACTTTTAAATTTCTGTTCATTGTTTTTTTTTTTAATTGAAATGGTTTAGAGCAAATGCATTTATGATTTTTAATGTATTTTCATTAATTCCACATATTTCTAAAATACCATCTGACTTTAGATTTTCATGTTCCATTGATGGGCGAAAACGTCTCAAGTTTATTACAATAACCCTAAAAAATTTTTTCAAATATTTTTCGATTAGTTTTTTAATTAAAAATTCAATTTAAAGTGTAGTTATTGGAATTATAATGCAAATAAATAAAAAAATGAAAAGTAGTAAGTCATTTCCTACTACATATCACTTAATATTATTTTTGTACGGTTAATTTTAAATACTGATAGGTGTTTGTCATGGAATTTTTTATGATCAACTTACTTAGTTTTGTCATTTTTTTTCTTTCGATATTGCTGTAGACGCTCAATCAACTGATCTGGTTTACCATTTGAATTACCAAATGTGGCAGATCCAACAACTATTAAAATTAAATCAAATACATCGTTTTTCAAACCAAGTGCTTCATCCAACGGCAGCATTAATCTTTGAACAACTTTTTGGGTCTAAAAAATAAAATTGCAAATTAAATTTGTCATTTTTCTTTGGCTAATATAAAAATTTAAAAAGTAAGAATAACTCAAATTGTGACATGTATCTTAAAACCTTACCACAAATGGAGTACAGTATTCGCTCGCTTGTGTGAAATTCCAATTTTTTTTCCAGTCAATTTTTTTCATTCTGGCTGAAGAAAATGCGTAAACTGATGACGGTTGGTTGTTTTTATAAAAGGATAGAGCAAGCGTAACAGCTGCCTCAAAGCAATTTACTTGTTTTTGACTTATAACAGATTCTGAAATTATTAAAGTTCTTTTGCAATTAAAATTGCGTAAAACAATAAAAAAAAATAAATATTTACGTCGCTTGAATTTTTCTGCGATATTAATTGCTACCATCGTGCGAACAGGAGGGCCGTGATAATTATCAAATGAATTATCAAATATTTCAGATAATTTTGTGTTCAATTTTTGATTAGGTTTCAAATCTGAAGATTGTGTAGTTTTTGAATGATAATTTTGCTGAATAAAGAAAGTTTTACAATAAATTAAAAAATGAACATACGTACATACATATGTACATGGTGAAAAGCATGTCTTTAGGTATAAATTATATTTTAATAAGTTACCTTTACACTCTCCGAATATCTTGTTTGTTTAACCAAACGATTTTTTAAATTAAGAAGTATAATTGGATGGATGTTTTCCTTTCTGATAGCGTCTCGTTTGCCAATAATTTCCATAAATAATTTACTGAATTTGGCATTTTCAAAAAATTGTTTTTCTACTAAAAAGAATAAATTATCCAATAATTGATGATATGACATAGTTGGTAAAATCAATTCCCAATTTTCAATTTTGTTACGCTGAGAGCTGGGAAAATTTTCAAAATCTAATTTTTTTTCATCGATTAATCTCTTCATTAAGGTATTATCCCCACTTTTTTTGAATGTTTGAATATCCACGAAGGCTTTTTGATATTCGCTAAGTGATTCATTTTCATTATGTAATTTTGCCTTTTTTGGCTTGAATACGTAGTCTAAAATTTCATCTAAGCCATTTTCTTTAGTGTTAACATGGCACAACGATATTAAATCACGGTGAGTAAATCCATATAAACCTACATTCTTCGAAACAGAATCTGTAAATTTGTAAATTTCTTGTTTTTCATACCAATTGGCAATGGCTCTTCTTACAGAGTTAGAAAACCCTTTTTTGTTATCGTTTTCACGAAGCTGTTTGGCATAATAAGCGAATATAAACAAGTCTTCTGCAGTTGACGCCAAATTAGCAAATTCACTTCCAGCAAGTTTCTTGTTATCTTGTTTAGTAGAGCTACACATATATATGGCATAAATATACCACAGCTAAAAATTCAAACCAGTGCATTCATACACATATTTACGAATAAGTACCTTAATAAATTACCTCATCTTTTCTTGGTAAAGTTCCACGTTCTAAACAAGTTCGTATGATTTTCAAAAACTGATCAACATCTATTGTTTCAACCAATTTAAAATATTCTGACGAATTTTCGCAATCTATTTTAATTTTCTTTGCTATATAAATTGGTTTTAAATTTCCCAAATAACAAAAACGCTCTATGGCAGCTTCAGAATTCATCCTCGCTTTCGGTTTTTTGCATAGGTTTTAAAAAAAATCTAAATTTTAAATTAGTGAATTATATTTTTACACCCTTTAAATAATTTTATGTAGTTTAAAGCATTTGTATAACTTTTTTAAAGATTTACTTACCAGTTGAATAGAATCAGCTAGAATATTTTATTAATACAATTGAAAATTTTCTACTTTATTGGCCCACCTTTGGTTTAACTTACTAATGACATGAAGAAAAAATAATTTACTTTTTGCTTGCTTTCAAATTGTCAACAATAACTTGTGTGTTACGTAGGGACCACACAATAGAGTCTATGCTTACGCGCAAATATGGAATGCGAATCAAGAGTTGTCAAATTAATCGTTCGTCATATTATCGGTCAAGAAATAATTTTGTCACGGGGAGATACTTTTGAAAAATTTTATTTGAAAAACGTTTTACCCTTTACAGTTCTTATTTTTAAAGTTTAAAGTAGAATAAGGGTGATTTTCCGTAGCAGAAATTCGGAATTCATATAGAATACATATATTTAAATGGGACTGACCATAATATTTTACCGCTGTAGTGTGACATTATATGCAAAATACTATGCAGTCAATTTTGCCGCTCCGTTCTTGTTCTAGGTTAACAATGAAAATCGTCCGCCATTGCCTCTCACCACTTTTGTTCTGTTTCGACAGTAAACCGGAACTGCAAAGCAGAATGAAAAATAATTTTTTTCGGTTCATAAGTTAGCATGTTTATAATATTATTATCTATGCTTCCATTTTTAAAATACACGGATGCGAAATTATTATATAATAGGATAATTTGAAAATATGTCAAAAAAAGAAGTACGTTTAGCTGACATTACGACAAATCATCCCTGCTGGGGCATTGGTTAATCTTCAGTGTTTAAATTTTCAATAGAAGGAAGATAAGTGGTTATACATCAAGTTTCGGTCGCAAATGGTTTAAAAGGCGGGGCCACTAAAAAAAAAATTGATTAAGTTAATTAAATATAAAGAAACTTATATTCATTCGCTAGAAATATGGTAAAGAGCTATTCAAAAGATAGACTGTAAACTTCATAACTTTATCACTCATTTGACATATCAGTAAAAATATGATTTTGACTTTCGCTTGAATTCAAAATACGGGAAAACAATTTTTTAAAAAATATACAATAATAACATAAGAACATTTTCAAGATTGTATTAAAAAACTTTGGCATTTTAAGAATTCCAATTGCCATTACAATTATTAACTTTCAATTACTGATCTAATTTTCTATGAATACGGTTTGAATCCAAGTAAGTGCTAAATTGCGTTTTAAATTTGAAGTCAGAGTTTATAAATATGTTCCACCCTGAATTTTATTTGATTGGAACATTGAACAAAAAATGAAGTTTATAATCATCACCTTCATATGATTAAAGTTAACAGTTGAATGAGCTATAAATCACATAGAAACATTTCTGTCTATTTATTAAAATTATAAGAACCGACAGTTCTTTTATACTCAGCGGATTGATAGTAAATAAAAAATTAAAAGGAAAAATGTCAAAAAGGTATGTGCAAGAATTAAATTTACTTTTATTTAACGACAATAAATAATTTTAGTTATGGGCTAATAATACCAAATAAACAAAAAGAAAAAACTGTGTATCCCTCAAATATACAAAAAAAATCTGTTTTTGGCGATGAGAGTAGTAGTGAGTCTTCTGGTGAAGATATTCCCAAAATTCGTGGGAAACATCAACAAATATCTGGCCCAGGAGCAGTAGAAAGACGTCAGGTAAAAATTGATTCAATATACATATGTAACTTCAATATATAATTATGTGAGTATAGTAAATTTAATTTTTGTATAGGCAAAATCCATTCAGCAAAAAGCATTAGCGGAAGATCCCACGATATTTCAATACGACGAACTTTATGATGAAATCGAAACTAAGCGCGAGGAAGAAAAAAAACAAAATACAGAAGAGAGAAAACCAAAATACATTGGCAGACTTCTGCAACAAGCGGAACGTCGAAAATTAGAAAATGAGCGCCGTATTGAAAGACAAGTTCAAAAAGAAAGGGAAGCTGAGGGAGACCAATTTAAAGATAAGGAATCCTTTGTGACATCTGCATATAAAAAAAAATTGGAAGAACTTAAAAAAGCTGAAGAAGAAGAAAAACGAGAGGAATATTTAGAAGCTATTGGCGACGTTACTAAGCAAGGAAATTTAGATGGCTTTTATAGACACTTATATGAGCAGAAATTAGGAGCAGAAGAACAAGACAATAAAATTATTACAAATAAAAAATCGGAAAAAGAGGATATTCACGAGGAACCATCAAAAACTAGGCAAAATATTAAACCTCGTACTTACCGAAAACGAATATCATCCGATGATGATACTGAAAATGAGAATTCAGTGGCAAAAAGGGCACATATTCAATCTAATTTAGATGCTGATTCCGATTTTAGTATAGATGATTCTTCCTCTGAAGATGAAAATGAAAATCACAAAAATGATACAAATACAAGCAAAATTGAACAACCAATAAAAACTGAGTCGGATATCAAACAGGAAAGTTCTGAGAAGGAGTGCCATTCGGTTGCTAACGAAATCGTTAAAACTGAACCGGATGAAGATAACTCAGAAAAAAAGCAGCAAAAACACAAAGAAAAAATTGATGTGTGGAAAAAACGGACCATTGGAGATATTTTTGATGCTGCTTTGCAAAGATATTATGAAAGAAAGAGTGCTAGACAAAGATAGCTTCGGAAAGTTGTTTAAGTTTGAATTACAAAAATGGTGGATCTATTATCGCGTTTGTGTATATTGCATCTCGTTTGGAAGGAAGATACGAAAAAGGAATGTATATTTGAAAATATCCAAGAAAGTTTTAGTTTGTAATATAAAAATGGCTTTTTAGGACTTAAAATAAACCTAAACGAAATCATGAAAATGTTTCTCAATTTTATAGATTTTATTTATTTGTTATAAAGGCTTTATAAACTGTTTTAGTTTATGAATTAAACAGATTATTTTTGCATAAGTGAAAAAAATTATAATTAAAATCTTAACTTTAAAAACTTTAAACTTCAGTTTTAGTATTCATGTATCACTTTTCCAAAGTTTTATCGTCTTATCATTTTCAAGAGCAGCTGATGCAATTATATTTTCTGTTGGATGGCATGCTGTACAAAGAACAGTATCAGTGTGACCTTGAAGTCTTTGTACAACTTCTTTACTTTGCAGGTTCCAAATATATACCATGTTGTCTTCACTACCAGACACAATCCATTTACCCCCTGTCACTGAAAAGTTAGCGAATATACAATATTTTTCATTTTTATGTCCTGTATAGGTTTTCAAACATTTTCCTTTTGAATAGTCCCATAATTTCAATGTGTTGTCTAAAGTTGCGGCCAGTATGTATTTACCATTTGGGGAAAATTTAACAAAGCTAACTGGCGGGTTATCGTCATCAATTAATGTTTTTAAGCACTGGCCACTTGCTGTATCCCATATGCGACATAATCCATCATAACTTGAGGAAACTATAAGAGATCCGTCTCTATTGAAATGTACGGCGGAAACTGGATCTGAATGTGCAGGCAGCGTTTTTAAGCATTTTCCAGTTCGAACATCCCATATTCTCACACTCTCATCAAAGCTTCCTGATACTATTAAATTGCTTTGTGGATTAAAATTACAGCAAAACACATAATTACTGTGTCCTTTTAAAGTTTTCAAACATTTTCCGGAGCTTAGTTCCCATATTTTTAAGGTTTTGTCATCACTAGCACTTACTAGTAAACGACTGTCTGATGACCAGGCAACATCACTTATACCCAATTTATGACCTGAAATAGTTTTTTCGAATTTTCCATCGTACGCTCCCCATATTTTGATTAATTTATCAGCTGATGAGCTTGCTAGCCATTCTCCATTTGGACTAAATTTAACAGCAGAAACCGCTTTTGTATGACCAGCTAATGTGAATTTTAAAGTATAATTAGGTTTAATGCTTGTGGAAGATTTATTAGATGACTGTTGACTTGAAATTTGACTGGATACCGGTTGTGGGTTTTGAATTTGTGGTTGGTGAACTCCTGAGTGACCGCCGTGTCCGCCACTGGGACCGATCGGAACCATATTCGTCTTTGTTTAATAAATGTAAAATGCAAACCTGTTTACAACCTGAAAGTTTGCAAATTGTATAATTTTTGCACCGTAAATATATCGCTTGTTTTTGATACACCTTCACCTTTATAGTTACCAAAATTGTTGATAAAAGTTCCAAGCCGCGTCAGTAAACGTCAAGTAAAACTAGCACCGAATGTCAATAATTTTTTAATGTTAGCGCCACCTAACAATTTTTTTGGTAGACTTATACTTAGAATTTCACTGCGTTAAAATGGCAAAATGTAGTGTTAAAAATTTAAACGGCATTACAATATGTCAAAGTATACAAGAAAAAATTTTTAAAATAAAAATAACTTAAAATTACCAACATGAACTCAATTTCAATAATCAAATCAAAATATTTGTTCATTTAATTTTTTACAAAAACAAAAAAAATAGTTAAAAATGGTTTGTGAACTTGAAATTTTTGTGAAGTTGGTTTTAAAAAACAAAAATATGATTTTTAGTTATCACAGTTCTTAAAAAAATTTTGCATTTGGAACTTTACAATTAATAATATTTAATATACAAAACATTGGACTTATATACATGAAGTTTCAGATTTTAAAAATTTTCAGCAATAAATGGTATTTTCAAGCTAACTCTATGATAAAACCTTTATTTCTGGTACGCTGGCATCCCTAACGAAATACACATATGTTTGTGACATTTGACTGGTAAGGATTCCAAAACACGTTGCTGTCGTGATTTTTTTAATTTTTAATATTTAAATTAGTCCACATTTATTTAAAAACTTTGATTTTAAAAGTATAAATTAAATTCCGAAGATCCGTAATTTGGTGTTTAAAATTTTCTTGACTTTTATGTAAAATATTTTTTTACTGAAGCTCCTTTTTTTCACAAATAATTTTAGAGAAATGTTGCATATAAATTTACTGAGAACAGCTAAACAATTAAGATATGCGAAATCACAGACAAAATTGTTTTGTAAACTTTTTCAATTGACAGAGGAGTCTCCAGTGTTAACACCACGACGATGTTTATTTGTACAACATGGTGTATATGCTGCCGATTCCACAAAAAGTCATGAAGCCTCGCCACAAATTATTTCTAAGTTATTCCCGCAAACCGCACCGGAAAATGTTGAACAGGGTGCAGGACAAGAAAATAAAGAAGATGAAAAAAACAAAGAACAGTCAAATCGAAAAATGAAGTTAATGTTTGGCCTTTTTGGAGGAGCTATGACAGCTATGAGTTTGTGGACAATATATGAATTTGGTAGGCCAGAGGTAGATGCAAGTGGAAAAGAAATAGAGGATGAGTTTAGTAAGGAACCTATAATACAACAATATTTGAAAAGAATGTGGAAATCTTTAACATATTATCAAAAAATGATTCAGGAACCATCTCGAGAAAAATTACTGCCAGATCCATTAAAACCACCGTATATTCAGCCGCCCTATACACTTGTGTTGGAAATGAAAGATGTATTGGTACATCCTGATTGGACTTACCAAACTGGATGGCGGTTCAAAAAACGCCCTGGTGTAGATTATTTCTTGGAACAAACTGCAAAACATTTTGAAATAGTTGTTTTTACAGCAGGACAAGGAATGGCAGTTTTTCCAATATTAGATGCTTTAGATCCAAACGGATATATTATGTACAGATTGGTTAGAGATGCAACACATTTTGTTGATGGTCATCACGTTAAAAATTTAGATAATTTAAATAGGGATTTAAAAAGGGTCATTGTTATAGATTGGGATCCAAATACAACAAAATTTCATCCACAAAACGCTTTTAGCATAGCTAGATGGCATGGAAATGATAATGATACGGCCTTGTTTGATTTAGTATCATTTTTGAAGACCCTTGCAACTGCAGAAGTGGACGACGTAAGGGAAGTGTTAGAATACTATAAACAATTTGATGACCCTTTATTACAATTTAGAGAAAACCAAAAAAAATTACAAGAACAAATCACAAAGCAAGAAAAAGAAGAACAACTAAAACAAAAACCGATAGTTAAAAGATGGACACCCAGTTTTATGAGCCGTTCTTGAGATGCAATATAAAAAACTTAGAATATAATTTTTAAATTATTAGAAATATAATTTTTTTTTCATATTCTGAGAAATGAAGAATGTTTTGACTTTATTTCAATTGCTAGTGAGACTTAATTGTTTTATGAAATTGTATTATGAAATATAAGGATGTCGAAATTATTTGAAATTTACCTAGTTCCATAATTCTATAAGAATTTTTCTAATTGCAGATTCCAGTTGAATCTTTATACTTCATATATATGAAGCTATATATATACATCATATATATGTACATCAAGCTCATACATATACGAAATAATGTACTCATTTGATATTGTTTGATTTTAATAGCATGAACATTCATAGATATTTTGAAGCAGTATCTAACAACAGTTTAAAAAGTAAGTATTTCTAATGAACAGAGATGTTCAAAAATTCAATTAAAATTACAGATGGTTTGGAATCTTCTAAAATTTGTACGTTATTTAAATTAGTTTATTGATTCTTTTATAAAATTTTAGAAAATTTTTCCCAGAAACATTATTTGACACAGAATTGAATAAAATAGCACGATTTTTAATATCACTTTTATGGTACATTTATTTGCATACCCATATCGGCTGAAATCCTAAAAGTATGTACTACTTGTTTCAAAGCTCATTATATACTAAAGCTGTTTTTTTAATGTAGTAAGAAGAATGGCCAGATACCAAATATTTTAAAAATAATTACGTGAATTCCCGTCACTTAATTTTACATTGTGGCATAATAAGAACCGTGCTAATGGTTTCTTTTATAGTCAGGTGTTTTATTTGAGTAAATTTACTCTGTAATTTATTATGATGATAATTTTCTCTTCGGCAGAATTATATTTTAAGCAAGCTTAACTATTTCTAAAAATGTAAAGAAGAAAAATATTTTGCCGAAAATTTTTCTAATATACAGGGCGATTTAGTAATGGATACAGTATTATGTACCATCGTTTAGACTTTAGATTCAAAAGTGGCTAAAAATTTTATTCAGAAGTTTTGGTTAAAGCTACATGTATTTTAACAATATTCTTCCATAATATCAAATTTTTATTTTCTCACGTGCTTTTTCTTATAACTTTCGTTGTAAAGTTGATAGACACTTGAAACAAAATATTTTTAAAGGGCTTGACATCAACATAAATAGAATTTGAGAAGACAAAGAACCTTGTTTATAGGATTTCAGCGACATTGCGTTAGTGCACCGGAGCTCAGCTTCAGGGTGAAAGAGAAACTGTCTTACGTGCCTTGGCTTAAAGTGTCAACGAATTAAATGTTGAATGGAACTTGGAATTGAGATTGTTGTTTGGTGCACTCATTGGACATTGTTATTAGTTTGTGATAATAATTAAAATCAATGTTCAATTTATTATTATTATTAAAAATTAGCTATTCTATCGGCAACATGATGCTAAATTTATTAGTAAAAATTAGTTATTCTATTGGAAAGAAATTAAAATTCTCATTTTCAAGCGACTAAAAATATTTGACTGGCTATCATTTTTAAAGTTGTCGTTTTGATAATTCATATATGTACTTTCTGACAAATATTAGCAAAATTTTATTTTATTAAAAAAGATTAGCCTTAATTAAGAACATAAAAAATTCATTAAGGTATTAAAATCACTTGATCTGATTTGAAATTTTATCAACACAATTGAAAATGATTTTAACACGTGCTATCAATTCGTCATCTTTAATAATAATGTATATTTGTCAAGTTGTTATGGCCAATTTAATTAAGTAATTAGAAAATTATGGAAAAACAATGTGTACTTACATACATACATAATAAATAGTTCGCTGGCATAAAAATATTAATTGTTAAAGTGAATTGTAATTTTAAAGTTCCTTCAAGATAATTCAAAAATTCGGGATGAAATATTTATTAAATTTTATTATTTTACTTTTGCTTTTGGAACATGTAAATTATAATATTTTATGAAATATTATTTTTTATTAAAATAATTATTAATATCAAGTTAAAAATTTTAGAATTTGATAATAGCTGAAAATGAAACAGATAAACAAATTGATTCTGATTGCAGAAAAATTACAAATGTTACAGAACAAGATTTAGATTTATTGGATAAATTTTCTGATAAAAGTACTGATAACGCAAAATGTTATTTAAAATGCTTTTTCGAAAAGCTTGGATTATGGAATAATGGTGCTGTTCAAGAAGATGCTTTTGTTAAAAGAATGTCATCTGGTTGTCCACCAGGACAAAATGTTGATGTTGAAAAAATTAAATCTTTATTAAATGCATGCAAAACTCCATCTGGAAAGAATGAATGCGATTCGGTATTTCAATTTTCAGCATGTGTCAATAAAAAAATGCCACAATTTAAATTTTGTTAAGTTTTATGATTTATAGGTTTTATTGGATAAAATTTTTACATATTTTGCAATTAATATTTTAATGTAATTTTGTTGTAAATTTTATTTTTTCATAATTATCTTAAATAAAAATTTATTTAGAAAATCAAATATTTTTAAATTTTCGATAGTTGTTAAGTATTAATTTTATCTGTCTAAGCAGATGTTATTTCAAAATAACAGGACCGCCTTATATTTTTTTAAGGTTTCAGAATTGGAAATTTAATTTATCTTAAAAGTTTTAACTTTTTTTTGTTTCTCTTTTTATTACTTAGCATGAGAGTTATTTAGGGTAAATTAATAAGGGCAATAATGTGATTCAATTTCCTTTAACCATAAAAATCACACTTGTATATCAATAACTATAAGATAGCTAAGATAGCTTCAATACGACAACTAATTAGATTGTTTTTTTAAGCAACTCGTTCTTTAATAGTTTTCTCTAAAAAAAATTAGCGGATAAAAGGACTAGTTTAAACGAGGTACATGCATATTTCAAATCACTCAAAAAAAAATATTACTACATTTGCTATAGTTTTGCATGCTCCTAGTGATAAAAACTGGTAGAAATCGGGATAGTGCGAAAAAATAGCATTTTCTGCCATATTTTATCGCAATCAATTATTAACATTAGTGGCTATTTTTTTATCTGATGCTGCTAAAAAATACAAGTCATTTTCATTACTGAGATCCATTTATTATTGTCGATGCAGCGTAAAATTTTATTGTTTTCGGACTTATTTATTTCACTCAAGACTATGTAACTTGACTCTGTCAGATATGTATTATTAGTGTTACAGTTAGTGACTTTGCAATTATATAATTAAAATTTTACAATACTTATAAGTATTTATTTTATTTATGGTAATGTAATTTGGCTCTGATGCCTATATATCATGAATACTGCAGTTAGGGATTATTGCAAATGCAGCATTAAAATTTTGTTGTATTAGCAATTATTTAAGTCATTAATAGCAATCTAATGTGGCTCTTTTAGCAACCTATTAGGTATGTTTCAATTATGGATTTTTGCAAATACAGAGTTAAATTTTTACTACATTTACAATTAATTATCCTTATGAAAGCAATGTAATATAGCTCTATTACTTAAATAAAATGGACTATTCTGAAATTTATTATAACTAAAAGAAGTGAAACTATAACATTAACTTTTGGTTTATTATTAAATTTTTATTAATATACAAAATAAACATTTCACAGAATCATATTATTTGGTTATTTAATATTTTTCATTCTTTTCTTAAACAATAATCCTTATAAATATGAATTACCTATTTAAGTGAGAGTTTTGCTTAATTATGTTTATGTTTTAAAAATTTTCCGCAAAGCGCTGAGCTTGATAAATCCAAAATTGACAAAGATGACGTTGATGTGTCATGCAAGAACACAGGTTCTTGATTGGGCAAAGTTATATTGCAACTATTTGCTGACAAAAAATTTGATATTGTAACACTGTCGCTTTCTACGATTTCAGTTGCGTAAGTATTTTCCGAATCTTCCTGCTGATGGCGTTGGATACTGAAACATAATATACATTTTAAGTTAATTACTTATAAAGAAATTTAATTCAATCAACGAAATATTTGTTTTCACCTGCATGTTTTTATATTTTTAAACGAATTTAGCCCAAAATACTGCTCTTATTGCTTGTTTTTCAATTAAATTTAAGACTCCTTGATATTCCAAGCTCTTGAAAGCTTCTTGGTTCAACTCTTCTTCTAATAATTTCGAAAAGCACTTTTATGAAAAAGAAATAATATTTTTAATAGTATATTACTTAACTTTGTAATATTAATAATATATTACCATGTTGAACTTTCACTATATTATTATAAAACATCAATTAAATTATATAAAAAGAAAAAGTACTTATATTTTAAAATTTCTTAATATTTTTTAAAAGTAAAATGTTATTGCGCACTATAAACGTGTCCGCTTATGTTTCTGATTCTATGAAAACAAAAAATCTGATCTAACCTTTATATATTTTTGGATAAAAAAAGAACGGGATTATTAACATTTACTTGTATTTGCAACAATTTGAACAATTGCTGTCATGTTTATCACTACAATAGAATGTTACATTTTATTTCGAGAATTTGATAAAAGAACAAATGGTAATGATCGAATATATTACCAGCATTTTATTTTAGCTTTTACGGCCATGTTTTTTACAGAATCACAAAAAATATAATTGTCTCAGCTGTAATTAAAGCTGAAGTATGTTCAATTAATAACTCCATACTCATATTCACCTTCCGTTTAATGATATGTTTTTTTTTAATTAAAATTTGTAAATTTTATTTACTTACCTTCAAAAATAGGTTTTAATGAGCTAAGTCCCTATTCTTCCAAAATATTTTTTAAAAAATTATCCATTTTTACTGTCTTTAATTTTTATTTAAAATTTTTTTTTTCACCTTAATTTTCACTTTTAATTTCTCCTTACGTATACTCCAATCGAAATATTTGAGCTACACTTCTTACGCGTGATAATTCAGTAAAATGAGAAAATAGTTGTTGTAATAAATAATACTTCAAATTTAATATAGCATTTTCTTTCTAGATTTTGCATATATGAAAATATAGCTATATAACTGACCAAAATTTCAGCATATGTTTTAGCTATTACAGCAATTTTTTATTACTACACAAACAAATAGTGAGAGTTGTAACTGAATATGTTCTATTGCAGAAACAGTCATAATTTTTAGCTAAATTTTCAATGTTCCGCAGTAATTTTAGAAATGTTTTGTTTGCCATGTATACATGAAGAATCTCAGAAGGTCAATTAAAAATATAGTCATAAAATCTAGCTACATTTTACATGTCACAAACCAGCTATGTATATCACTGCAGAATAAATATGCATTTAATATGGAGGTAGAAATATTGTTAACTTTGTTATTATTTTTAGCAACTTCAGATATAAAGTTGTAGTTATGTTTTTTGGCTACGAAAATAGTGATCTTTTTTTTCAGTATATATAATGGCTATGTATTAATTCGTCCTTATTTTGATATTTAAAATGTTATAATACACGCATAATATTATGTGCATTATTAAATAGGAATAAATTAATGTGATTTTCTCTTAATAAAATTTTGGATATTTAAAAAATATAAAAAATAAAAGTTCTATAATCTTTTTTTTACCACATCAAGATAAAAAACTGCTTGTTAGTTTCATTATGCCAAGTTGTCAGTGCGTTTACTTAAAAAAATTTCGTTCTTTAAAATAGAAAGCTGCAGTTTTAAAAACAAAATTGATCTTTACGAGAATTTTATTCTTTTAGATATAGATTTTTTATCTACCTCCTCTATGATAATTATAGCCTCAAAATTATAAAAATACAATTCTGTTTCGAAAACAGAAATAAATAAGTTTGCAAACGAAGAAAAATAAAGAATAGCTTCTTTTACTGGAAGTATAGATAGAGAAACGTAATCTATAATTATAACATAGTTTTTCTTGTAGAAGGTAAGGTAGACTCTAATGAATTCAAAAATTTTATTAAGTTCTAGACAAGATATTAGTAAATAATAATTTATTTTTTTAGAAGAAAATTTTTTCCACTCTCCCCTTTTAAGTTGTAATTAGCAATATTTTTAGTGAAGCTAGTGGTAAATTCTAATATTCTAATATTACTAATAAATGCTAATACCCTTTGAATTTTTGTACGAACCCGAACAATATGCAATTAGCCATTTAGAAATAACAAAATTATAGAATTATAAGCTCCTTATTTTTCAGAAAATGTAAGCTTTTGGGTATTTCTAAAAGACCCAGAAGCTAGTAGTGAATTCTAATGCTCTAATATTTCTAATAAATGCTAATATCCTTTGAATTTTTATACGAACCCTAAAAGTATGCAATATTCTTTAAATGCATACATAGTACATATTTCTGGTTTTTATATTTCTTATCACTGAAAATAGCTAAACTAAACGGAAATGTGCTATTTTACAAACCATTGCTAAATTTATTTAAATAGAATCTGGATATTGTGTAAAATATTTAATGTGAAAATTACTTTATAATTTGGTGCAAATTCTTTAATTGATTAAATTATAACTTTTTGTTTTTAATATAATTATTTATATATAGTTTGATAGAATAATGAATAATTTAAAGTTACTATAATTATAGAGAGTAATTTGAATGACACAGAAAAGAATAATGATAATATCGGATGTGTTTTTGTCACATCTAATTTAATTTAATTTTGCTGGCTCATTAGATTAGTTGTGTAAATTTGGAAAATAAATTTTAAATATAATTTTTAGAACTTGTTGATTTTATAAAAAGTTTAATATTACATTAAGGTTAAAATAATAATAATAAAAAAAATTTTATTTATAATAATATTTTAAATGTATTGATTATAATTTTAGGATTAAATTATCAAAGTGAAAACCAATTTTTTTTATATATAAAAATGATAAAAATTAAAATTGTTTACTTGGGATTAAAATTGTTTATTTTAATTTTATCGGGATCAATTATACTTCAAGTATATTTTATATGAATTAAATATAAATATAAATATAATAGAATGTGAGTAAAAATTTACATATTTTATTTATTTTTTAATAGTTAAATGCTCAACCAAATGAAACAGATGTCGATAATAGTAATGATCATTTGGCCTTTGAAGAACAAATTGAAATGGAATGTGAACAACAATTTAATGTTACATCGGATGAATTGAAATCAATAGAAAAAATAAGTTTAACAAATGAAGCTAAATGTTTTGTTAAATGTTTACTTGAAAAGACTGGAACACTTAAAGATGGAAAAATTATAGATATTGCAATGGTCAAAGATATGGAAAATGATTGTGAAGCACCATTGGTATTTGATAAACATAAAGCAGAACTTTTAGTTGGAAAATGTAAGAAAGCTAAAGGAATTGATGATTGTGATTTTGCTTTAAATTATATGATTTGTGTATTAAAAGATTTTGGTAATTCTGATGGTTATTGTACAATAAAGAATTAAGAATATCATATAATTTTAATTATATAAGAAATGATAGTATGATAAAAAATTCAATATAACTGTATTTATCTGAGGTAAAAAATATAATTATTAAGAATTATAAGAATTTGCTGAATAAAATTTTACTATTATATTGGTATTTATAATTTATTTCAAATATTTTCAAAATATATTATTCGTATGTATTTTAACTTATAAGAGATGCTAAAAATTGATTTTTATTGTATTTTTTAATAAGAAGTCAAATACTACAATAAAATATATTTACTAATTGAAATACTTGAAATAGTTGAATTTCGTCTCTTGAATATCGACCCCATGATTACGCGAAATGTACACGAAATTTGCACGAAAAAAAAACAAGGAATACTCCATAAATATTTGTAATTATATTTGATAATCCTTTTCTTGATGCTTGGTGTTAATGCGAGACCCCTTGTTTTTAAAAAATATATAGATCTCAAAAAATTTTAACGTTATTCAACAATATCGATTATTTTTGTAAAATGATGGTAAGAATGATAAACATACAGAACTTAGAAGTATATGGTATTTGGTATCTAAAATTAGCATGTTTTAATTTGGCTTTCGAAAAAATAAAAATTTATATTTCACAATTTTATAGCATAAGAATCTGAAATAATGAAAATTTTTCATCAATATTACGATTGAATCCGTCGACAGTGTTTCATTCTGTAATGAACTTAAATTATCTGGTAATTGATGACCAACTTGCAATGACTAAATACTTTATGTTTTTTGTGGCATAGTAACAAAAAAATTTAAAAACGTATTATGCAAAATAATGTAAATAATTTATATATTTGTTTTCAATTGCTATTTACAAGAAGAAAGAAAAAAAGTCTTTTTATTGAATAATGCACCTACAAAATTTGTAAAACTTACACAAGAGCTACATATTAGTTGTGTAATTTTAGTACGCCAATGGGAAATTTATGGATGAATTAAAATATTGAAGTTATTATAAAACTGTGAGAAACATGAATATTTTAAGAATTCAGAATCAGCTGGAAATTTGAATTAGCAAGGAATATTTTATTATTAATTTTTCTATACAGACTCCCAATACCTAGAATTTCTTTCATGGAATCTATAGAGTTTATTCATCCCACTTGGCCACTTAGGTCATCCCGTAAAACTTTATAATTAATAATCTGTATTGTTGAAAAAAATGCTTTTAAAATTACAAATGATTTTGAGTGAAACTTAACATATGTATATTAGACAAAGTGATTCCAAAACTTGTTTTTTTATTTATAAGTGTGTTTCATTTCTGTATAGAAACAAAATTGATCAATTCTTTAAAATTTACGGATATTACATTTTTTTTTCTATCAACTAGATTTTAATTCGATAATTTTTGTTTTTTGCTTTTTTTCTTTGTCTATATATAAACCAAAAATGAATTCACAGCTTCTAAAAATTGTTAATACAAAGAGAGCCACCACATATTTGATTACAATGTAAAACAAAAATTAAAAGGAAAAAAAAACAAAAAAAAAAACATTTTTTATTATTTGTAATGTTAGAATCCTGGTTTATCCCGAATTCTGTAATTACAAACATCAACATATATTATAGCTTGTTTTCATATCTTTACATTTATACGTACATACACACATACTTGTATATCATCTTCTTTTTTTGGGTGCATTTTTAGATCACACACAATATATTTATTTGCCATTTTTGTTAAAAAAGTAAATGGATATTTAATGTGAGTGTGTGTGGATGAATGTAAATTTTGTATGTTATGTATATATAGTATGTGCAACATGGTTATATTTATGCCCGTGTCTATATGTACACAATCAACCAAAAAACACAAAGAAAAAAAAAAAACACAAAATTTTCAATTTAAAGCTATGCATGTCCTTACATCACTTGAACATATCGTTGAACAATTAGGAAAAACGTTAAGTGAAATTACAATGAAAAGCGCACAAAATAACAGAACAGGAATAAAATAACAAAAGAATAATAACAAAACAAGAAAAAAAAATGAATAAAAATTCGAACATGACAATGGAAATTGCTAATGGCCAATTTTAATTAAACATGGGAAAAGTGCGAGAAATTAATTTCTAAAGTGGCCGTATCCTTTTTTTTTCCATTTTTTTTTTTACATTTAAAGCTACTACATATTTAAACAAGTAAAATATAAAAAAAAACAAAATTTAATATTTTTTACTATAAAAAATTTTAAAAATTGTTTATTTTATACTGTGGATGGCTTTATATATGACTGAAAGCCACAAAGTTTTTAACATTTTGTTTAATTTAAAATAATAATTTAATTTTTCATATCCATACATACAAGGTTATTTTACAGTTATATAGCTACACATATTGTATGTACAAGTGTATGTATATTTATGGTGTAATTTGAAATTAACGCGAGTACTATGTACCATTTTAACTACTTCATAATTTTCTACACGTATAAAATAATTTTAATTTTATTTAATTGATTATTAAAAATTTTTTGGTCAATGAAAAAATTAATAATAATGTTAATGAATGTATAAATTGAAAATAACCTTACAAATTTTCGATAAACATATATAAAAAAATGTTATTTAATTGTAGTAATTGCGCCCAGATATAGCGCGTGATTTCAAAATTGCAGTATAATATGTAGTGGTGTTATTCAGCTCATGAATTACATTCTACTACCTAAATTTCAAATGAACATATAGAATCACAAATTCGATTCCAATTGGTTAACAATAAAGATGTTGGAAACTATCAATAACCTGTAAAAAATCAATTAATATTGAGAGCTTAAATAATTTTTAAAGTTCCTCCTGAATTTGTACTTTAAAAAAAAAAATTAAATGAATTTTATTTTTAAATTATCTACGATTTTTTTTAAATTAAATGTAAAATATTAAATTTTTTCTACATTATTGCAAAATTAAAAAAAAAAAATTAATACGAAAAGGTGTCTGGCAAATTCTAAGGTAGTTCATATACAGATTTTAACTAAATTAAAGATGAATAATTTTATATTGCATTAGTTAACGAATACAGGAATATATCCTCGGTCATCATTATGGTTTAAAGAATTTCTAGGACAATTAAAATTGAAAACAGAACAAGAGCAATTGTTCACGACGAATTGTCCAAATTCATATACAGAATTCACATACATATATAAATGATACCAGCCAGAATAGAGCGGAATTGCAACCACAAATTATTCTAATTTACCACTGACGGTTTTTTTGACATCATCTGTTTGGAGGGTATCTATGGGTATGTGACAATATATCCAAATTACTGAACAGTGTAGTTTCCGCGTTGTTATGATTTTACAACGGAAATCATCCAGTATTGCAGCTCACCGCTTTAGTTCTGTTTTGAAAACTTTAGTTTTAAATGTAAATGAAGTCTTTCTTACTTATTTAATATATAGTTTAGAACAATTCACTTTAAAAGTGTACACAAACTATAAATAACATTACTAATATAATTTTTATATGAATTAAATTTGAATAAGTAGCTGCAATCGTACGGTTGTTACGAATTAGTAATTTTACGATGTTAATTCATATTGCTTTAATACAATAATTTTTTGAAATTTTTATGTAAGCTTTAATTGGTTGCCTATATAATGATATGTTTATAGTTTTGATTATTGAATTGAAATTTCATTTACATAAGCTCAAGGAACTATTCAAATTCTATCCTTCCTTTCTATTATAAATGTATTCACAAATTTATTATATACCATTTATTTTACAATATATTTGTATTCGTAAATGATATGAGCATAATGAATTTTATATATGTATATGTTCATGTATGAATTTAATATTAAACAAGGTGAAATAAATTAAAATGAAACAATATCATTTGCATACATCAATTTTGTATTCACATTCGAATACAATGTATAAATATACATATATAAATAATTACGTATAATATTCCAACATATACGAGTATATACGAGTATGTAAGTATATTATTAATATTTTTATGTTTAAATTTTGTACCACTTTAACAATTAAGTCCATCTGCTTATACATATGCATATACGAGTGTAAATATGGAATCTTTCGTAAAAGTCTCCAGTGCACCTTAAAAGTGTATGTTGTTGTATTGATAAAAAAAAACCCGCAATTATTTTTTAAACAAATTGAAAAAGTCTTTTTTGAAACAAAAAAAAAAATTTATTCATTTAATAAGATAAAAATAAAAAGCAAAACACAAAAAAAAAATGAGTCTTCTTGTCACAACTGTCTCAAATTCTTGAGGATTTTACATTATTATAAACGAAAATATTCGCAACAACTGACCATTTTGTGTTTACTATAGTGTATTTACATGTGCCCGTAAAGAAATTCCCCGTTTAATGTTTAACTTGAATCTATATAGAAATCTAATATTATTACTGACTTTATAATTATAGTAACACATGTGACACAATTGCCGGACTATGATTTCAGTTTAAATTAAATTTTAATAAATTGCGGGTATTTAGGAACACAATTCGAAAATACCTGAGTTCAGCATAATACCGGGTGTTGTAAGGCAATCGTGTTAATTTGAAAATTCGGCAACTCTTAACCTGACAAATAGCATAATTGTCATTGTAATATGAAAATACCGAATTGGCTCTTTGGCTCTTATGCGTATTTCTCAGTATCATTAGCATTCATTCATGGCTCTGCTTTTTTTTTATAATTTCTTGGAAAACTCGTTGTGTCGGTAAGTTTGCTTAAGTTATAACTCTCTCTTTACCATAAAGTTATATTATTTACGAATGTGTAAAGTGAAGTATTGTTGTACCCATAGTTCAATGTTTTTATTTCATACACATATTTGTTACTGTTATATTAATAAAATGCAATAAAATTTTTTTTTATATTGCCATTCCCAAACATGAATGATAATAATTATGAAAAATATATTTATATTAATTTGTTTTATTTTCTTATTATTCTTAATTTCATAATTGTTTTTATATACAT